TTTCGCATTTTTCCTTTCTAAGTATTTTCGAAATTTTTTGTTATAGAATAAAACGCGTGTAAAAAATTGCACTTTTACAAAAATTCCATGGGCTACAAAACTGCATACTCAAAAAAAAAAAATATTAAGAAGCTGAAAATTTGCATGAATATTTATTATATTTTCCTAAGTTTTGCACAAAATTTAGAAATTTTTGAAAATTTGTATTATGATTTATTGAGTTTTCCTGAATTTTTTCACAAAGTGTAGAAATAATATTTTTATGTTTTTTGTTGTAGTATAAACCACATTTTTATAAAAAATTACCGGAAAAATTAAAAATTGTTGCATATATTGTGAAACATGCTCTGTGCAAATACTTTTTGAAGTGCGTGTATACTCTGATGCCATTTGAGCAACTGAGCCTAAAGTAGTTGTTGGCCGACCACGAGATGTCAAAGTGTCAGTGGATGAAAACCACGAATGTCAACGCAATTTCCACTTATGCGCCAACCATAATTAATCGAGTCAAGACGCAGAGCAGAGCAACAAGGCGGCTGTATATTCTAGTAGTACAGAATAGCAACGAATACAGCTGTGAGAGAGAGAGAGGGACAGAGGGGAAGAAGGAAGCATTAGTCTATAAAATGAATTTTGGATGGGTAGTAGTACTGCGGCTGCAGTGAATTCTTGCCAATTACAGCTGCTGCAGCAGCTCTGAGGCTTTCTGAAAAATTATGCGGGTGTTAAACCAACAAATCTTCGCATCTATGCCTTGCACGTGTGCTCTTGTCACGCTTTCAGTAACTGAATGCATAAATAAACTTACTCGCCAGTGCTATTGGGATTTCAGCTGGCGCTATTGCTTACTCGAAATCCTGTTGTACTGTAATTACGCTGCTGCATATTAATACGCGGCTGTCACCAATGATATACTAGGGTAAGGAAAATGCATAAGCGTGTCTATATATATGCTAGTATGAGTTTAAGGAAGTGTACGTGTATTAGTGATGTTGTTTGCTTTACGGTATTTACTTAAAATTCATGTGCATACACAACCGCAAATTGCTTTGCTGGCTGCTCGGCTGGAACTGACGAATACACAGATATAAACGTGCAATGTACTTATACTAAATATACAGATATAACCTTGTGATCAGCTGATTAAGTTAATTTTTAGAAAAATTTTAGTAGGTTAAAGTGCAAGTTTCAAGACGCTAGAAAATCGCGTTGATTTTTTATATTTTTTTCGGCTGTTGTGCATTTTCTTCGATTTAAAGTACGCTCGACTTTTAAATTGCCTAGCACAGTTACATTTACATTTTATCGTAATAAAATTTAATGGACTATAAAACTGCATACGTAGAAATTCGCAATAAAAAGTTTGAAATTTTAGGGTGTAAGTGGTATATTTTGTTGAATTTTTATAATTTTTGTTTAAAGTTTGAAATGTTGATGGTTATATAATGCGCCAGACTTTTATCAAAAAATAATAAATCAAAGATAAATAGCCGAAACTGGTTAAAGTGTCACCTTACTTAATCAGCTGACCACAAGTTTATATGTTTTAGGAACATACATACATATGTAGATATTTGCTTAGGGATTTCAGACCGCATGCAAATAATACGTTCTTGAATGCTGAACATGGCTCCGCTACTAATAAAAAGGTTATTTATCCAAATTTTATGAACAATAATTGAATTTTTTATTTACTGAAAAAATATAAGATTTCTGGATGAGTCCCTACTGATAATGTGTGAATAATACCTAAACCTCTCCACAGGCAAGACAGTTATATAAATAAAAATAAAGTGCTTCAAATTTTCTTTAGATCACATACCACATCGAGCCCTTACCGCCGGAAAAATTGAAAAAAATTGGAAAGCGACATTTTTTCAAATGTTCCTATAGCATCTAGATGCATTTCTGCATCACAACTAAATGCAACTAAACTAAATCTAGATTTGGTCAGTATGACCTACCTTTTTTGGGAAATAAGACGAAGGCTTACTTCATTGGGTTTATTTTCCAGTCACCATTCGAGAGTTAGGCCCAGGGTTGCCTACAGTCTCAAGCATACAGTATGCTCATGCCAGCCCACAACATAGATGACATAGATATAGGTGCTTTAGGGTCGTCCTTAAATGTAAGAAGCAAATTTTTAGTCGAAGATATCCCATATAAATTTTGGTCCCGATTGAAGTGGGTTCAGGCATGTCACACAGGGGTCAAAATTGACATTACCCTATGAAAACGTCTTAACCGGCTGCAATCGGGACTAAAAATTATGTGTGATATCTTTGACTTTATCAATACTACAATTTTGGGTATTAAATGAAAAAAAATATTTTGAATTTTTTGAGTCTCCATAAAGGCTTCTAGCCTTTGACCCCATCGCGACATGCCTTAACCGACTCCAATAGGGACTAAAATTTATATGTGATATCTGTGATCGTGGTATGTATTATCGATTGAGCGGGTGAGACTGAAAAATCGTTAATTTGATTTCAAGGACCACCCTTTGCATACATCAAATTCAAAGGTTGTTAATTTTTTTAGAAGTTTTCCGACAACCAGGATCCATAGAAAGGAGGCATTTCATTTATTTTTCAAATAAGGCAGTCATTCATTTGCGTATTATCTCATATCCCTGGGATTATTTAAAATATCGAGCTAAGAAAATAGATTACAATTTATACCAACGTAGTCCACCCAGCAGTTTTTGTATTTATTCCAAGTATGCAAAACAAATGTGTATAGTTATCGAAAAACGCAAATGGAGTTTACTGGTGCACCTACACGCACGGCTCACATTTACATACAAACAATTTTGTGTAAGTATTTATGCTGCTGCTGCTGTGTACATTCGTATAATTTATAGCTTTTATGTATTTTATGTATTTCATTCATTTCTACTATTTGTGGTGGTTATTAAGTTCAGTTCGAAATAATTGAGTTGGCATGCCAAAAATGCAGCTATCGATTGTATGGCTATGGCACGTGCTATGGAAGCATATATATGTACATACCAATTCGAAAGTGCGTATCCATGCTTATATCTATCGGTATGTAAGCACTGTAAAATAACTGAGGATAATACTGAAACTTACATGTGCGCATGCAGTACCACAATATTTAATTAAAATTTCATTTCACTGAATACGTCTGCTGACTTTCAACGATTTTAAAGCCGCAAAATGCAGGCTTCCGGTGCAAAATATATTAACTGGAAAATAAGCGAAAAGTAGGTTACAGCGTGGTAAGAAAGTATGATAATGGTTTCAAAGGTATTAAAGTCAAGTAATTGGATTCTTTTTTAATATCTTTTAAATCTTTTAAACGATATTTAAGCGGTTACGCAAAGAAGTGCTGCACAAAAGTATTATTCGTCCATTCTTTGTAAAAATAAGATTTAGTGGATAAGGGAAAGCGTGAAAGCTGCGAAAAGTCCGTTAATACATATGTTTTCATTTTTTTTACAAAGCTGCAACCTCTTTGATCGGTTTATTTCGTCAACGATCTTCGTAGCATTCCAATGTGGGGCTTTTTAAACTTTGTACTAAATATTTTTGGCCATCTTCCCAAAGCAACCGCATTTTTGAGCGATTTTTCTAACTCATTTTTCTCGACACCTTAAGCTCTGTAAAGTTGGAGCCGAATTTCGCTGGAAGCTCTCTATCATCCTCAAACTAGAGTGTACCGCTGGCTACTTGCTGATCGCTCTTTTACAGATAGACATTGTGCCAGTTCAGTGAACCCTGTGCGAAAACCGGTACCAAAGGTTTAACGGAGACGGTGGGAGATCTTGCAACTCTCTAATTTTCTGTAGTGTATTGACGGGACACAGTTCACACCGGATGCCCATTCTCTTAATCTGTCCACTTTTTGTGAGACTTCGGTCTAAAAACCTTGGATAGCACTTTGCAACACGTCCAGAGAGTCTCTGCGAGACCGAAATCTGCAGTCTACGATACTTTGATCTAGGCACTCAGTCCTTTCGCTATAGCTTAGCAGTTACTGCTCGTAGAGATGTTATAAAAAGCCGATGCTTATGGTCTAAGTGTGCCCCTGCTTGGAGCAACTGCCTTAACCTCACCATACTTATGATGGTATTGATAATGCAAATATCCAACGACACACGCGCTGAGCTTGGTACTCCCCTTAAATAAATGAATACTTCCTCAGACTGTGTCAAATAAAACGACTACGTTTTTCTTTCGGTCCAGTAAGAAAATTTGCCTGTCGGTAACAATAAATTGTTTCAAAATTGCAGCCCTCTATCTTACACAAAAAAAATAAAATTGTAGCCCATTGAATGTTAGTAACAAAGTGCAAGTTTAAGTAGCTAAGATTTACCGTTGATTTTTGGCATTTTTTTTTTATTTTTTTATTTTTAAAGTAGCGAAACATATTTCTGGGAGCGCTAACTGGAAAATTGTGGTAGATGGCTGAAATTTTGCTTTAATTTATTTTTTGTGGCCGATAACGAAGCTATCCTATGGGAACGAAAGAAAAAAAAAATTTTCGTTTTTTTGACATAGTCTTACACTTCCTTTTTAAGGCAAACGACTAACCCACTTCTAAGCTCGATAAATAAGCCCTAAACAAATTCATTATATCACTTTTCTGACACTTTTTGCTCGTTTACTCTCTGGGTTGGACTCCCACATTTACATATGTAGCTTTAAATTAAAAAAAAAAAATACTGCACAGAAAAATACATAAATTTTCAGCCGAAAGCGGTGGAGTGTATACCGCATTTTTCAAAGCTTTTGCATTCGAAGCAGTGATCTCACATTCCATTTTCTACACTTGTATGACAAATGCAATTTTTAGAATGAATGAGAAGGGCGTGCACCTCCTCCAAACTGTGCGGTATAGATAGCTTTTTTTTTGCAACCTTGCATATTTATCATGCCTATATATTTACATAAACACATACGCATTTGCGTATCCCACTTTGCGCGCTCGTTATCATTTAATCAACACAACATTGTAGCACATCATTCAAAACTCACCATCGTATCGGTATATTCAATTAATTTATCCTCGGAAACATCATTAATTTTCTTGGCCTCCTTCAGTAAATCGCGCAAAAAGTTTTTCAGCTCATCAGCTTCAATGTAACCAGAATTATCAGTGTCGTATTCACGCCAAATCTGCAAACACACAAACCAAAAGACATAAGTAAACGAATACATAAATGGAATGAAATGATAAGCCAAAAGCAAACAAATTACACAAAAACAAATACTATAAAACAACAGCGCTGGCAAAAATTAATAGCTTAACGTAAGCTTAGAGGCAATGATTTAAATCCGGTGTGCAAATGAAAAATGATGGAAAATGAGTGGGATTAAAATATTTAGGTTGGATCTTCGGATTTACGGCAGCAAAGTGTTAATGAAAGGGAGGACTTGCACATTTTTTTTTTAATAATCGCTGCGACAAGGAAAGTTTTAGGCAAGCAATTTTTTTGCAATATACAAACTTCGGAACGATATAAAGTTTAGTAATTTTTTATTTTCCTTAACTTTCTTCTTCGCAATTTTTCAAATTTTGATTCAATCTTGAAAGGAAATTTGTTTTGTTGCTACATTTTTCTCATGCAAAATGCTGCTTACCACGTCCTACCTAGCTCCTCTTTTTTCGTCATTTATTTATTTGCTCAATTTCTTTCCACACAATTTGATATGCATTAATTTTGCAAACGTTGCATGAAATATGTACTATAATTCACAGTCTGTCTGCCTGTCGACCTTTCTGCTTAGCGATATGCCTGCGTCCTTGTCAATACACGAAGGTTCAGTTACGCTGTCGCATTCTCTAATTGAATTCATTTATTTATATCAATGTCATGTCGAAATGTATTTTGTATGCCCATCCCATGTTGGCGCGACTTTTAAATGAATATTTATTGTGGTTAGGTTTGAAAAAATTTTAGTTATTTATTAAGCGTGTGATTAGCATGGAAGATGATCAATCGACTGAAGCAATGTTCTTAGAAATTGTTAAAATAGTGAAAAAACTCTTCTGAGTTACGCGTGTTTGAAAAAGAATCAAATAAGACCTTTTGGGTAAGATGGGGTGTCGGGAAGGAAGAATGCATTTATTTATGAACAGGATTATTACTGAGACAAAGTTTGAGTTCATCCGTATGAGCGCCAGTGGAACCAAGAGTCGGTGCAGCAGCATACGACATTACTTCGCCACACTTTTCGATAAATTAAAAAAAAAAAGATTTATAAAAATAAGCGGGAAAGGAATGGAGGTCACGCTGCAATGGCTAGACCGAATAGGTGAGGTTTTGATTTAGCCCTTCAGTTTGCTATTTATTTACAAAAAAGAGAAAGAGTTTTGAATAAAAAAATTTACCGAAGCAGCGAGACTATATTGTCTACTCTGAGTATTATTTATATGACAGCAAAAGGCTGGAGCGAGGTTTTACTGCAAACAAACCTATTGAATACATGCAAACTGTGGGTGCTTTGAGCGACCTCTAAATATTTTTTGATTTCAAAATAAAAAAACACTAGGGGTATATATTTTTTTTTCGGTATAGAACAATCCTAGAGGGTGAGAGCATACAAATTCCGACTTTACTTTTATTTTCTACAGTTATGTAGCCCATTCAATTCTAGTCTAATGAAGTGCAAGTTTCAAGCTGCTACAAAATTTCGTTGATTTTTGGCAACTTTTTTTGTTGACAGTTTGAAATTTGGGTGAAAATTTACGAAATTTTTATAATTTTTGTACAAAGTTTGAAATGTGAATTTTTATTATGTTTGTTGTATAACCAGCTAGATTTAAAACAAAGAAATTTAATAAACATTAAATAAACAAAAGACAAATAGCCAAAACTAGCCAAATATCCCACTCCTATTATTTTGTGGACAACTGTACGTATATTTGTATAAAAATGTGGTCTTTCATTAAATTCCTCCCTGTTTAATTTTGAAAGACCGTCATTTCGCACTAAAAACAACTTTTTTCTTTACAATTAACCCTTTTTGAACTAATGGCCAAAGCAAACTTGCTCAGTCTTGGGTTAAAGTTAGCAACTTTTGAGCGCAAATTGATTGTGAGCGTGCAATCGAAGCTATGTTCGTACAAGGAAATATGTATGTATGTACATATGAGTAACCGTTTGACGTGTGTTTGTTTGGTCATAAATCCAAAAAAAAACTAAAGAAAAGTTAGGAGATGTGAGAGGCTTGAAAGTGTGGTAAAATATGATAGGAAAAACATGGAAAATATGTGTAAACGGAAGTGCAAAATATATATGTTTTGGTCTAGCTTTAATCGCCTTGTCTTTATACTTTCTTTTTTTTCATAAGTAAATACGGTATGTAACGATTTTTTTAAGGATTGTCGAATTGCTTCCTCAATGACTTACCTTCATGAATTCGACACTCGATTCCAGCGGGTTATCGAAACGGAAAAGCAAAAGGAAATTCTCTTCCATTGGTAAAAGTTGGGCAAGCTGTAAGGAGAAAATGAAAAAAAGAAAAAATTAATTAGTTGCATCACAGAAAAAATCAGCCGCAACGTTTAGAGTTGGATTGAAAACAGTGTTGCCAGAACTTTTTGGGCCGACCGGCTAGATTGGCAAAAAAAAGCGGCTAAAAACGGCTAAAATGTTTTAGTGAAATTTCACATAGACTCTGGCAAAAAACGGCTAAAATGTTTTAGTGAAAATTCACATGCTTTATTTAAATAAATCGCAAGAAACGAAAGACTAGTTAACACCATTAATTTATATCGAGTGTATATTCCTCATCATCAAATGAATCACTATTGTATATATCAACTGAATTCATTGGCCCGTAGTCATAGTCAAAATAAAGTCGACTTTAAAGTTAGTTGCAGCTTTTTTGACAGATATCCCATTGAAAATTATGTCAAAAAGCTGCAACTAATTTTAAAATCGACTTTATTAGTTTTAAGAGATCGTCATCTACAGTAAAATTATGGCAACATTTTTCTTCACGTTTTAAACCGTATCTTATATATAAAATAGCGTTTAACGTTTTAACGCACATTGGATTTCTTTGCTTAGTTTTTATTATATTCATTGAACTAAATATTCGCTCTACTTCTGCATTACTTATAGGCAAAACAGGAAAACTAAAAACTAGGTTGGAAAGGTCAGCAAAAGGGTTTTCTCCTAGGGCATTTCGAAATTACTACTTACTTATTACTAAATAAACTTCGGCCAAAAATTTTACAGTTGAGTCTAAATTACTCCAGGTATGTAACGTTAACCGTTGCCATTGCATCTCTATGGATGTTATTTCTAGAGGTGTCAAACTATCGATAGTCACACCATCGATAGTTTTGATAGTTTTCAGAAAGACTCAATATTCACGATAGTCTCGAAAAAAACAAAACTATCGATAGCACTATCGATAGCGCTAAATCAGTTAGGTTGCTTTGTTTTTACAGAATCATAGTGAAATAAATATTATCTTATAAAAGTTATAATCATTCAAAATTAAGTAACTGCTTAGCCAAAATACTTATCTTTTTAGAAAGTTCAAAAACAAACACAAGTTATACAAACAAAACGGGATTTACGATTAACATATGTATGTATAATTTCAAAAAAATTGGGAGAGATGATCGATAGTCCTACTAAACTATCGATATTTTTGATAGTATAAGAAAAAACTATCAATGAGTATTGATAGTCTAAAAAAATTGAAACTATCGATACTATCGATAGTGCCATCGATAGTTTGACAATTAGTTATTTCGTCGGCATTATATTTGTGTTTTTGTTGCTGTAGTTGAACAAATACTTTTGGTTTAATTACTCTTAATGCATTTCCAACCGAAAAAAGTCAATTTTTTTTAGTGTGGCAATATTTGTAGGAAGGCGTTGGCGTAATTACTTTATTAAAGTGATAACAAAATAGCGACCATTTTCTCGAATTATTTTCTCGGCTTCGTGGTCAAAAGCGTTTGTGCTTACTTTTGTTTTTAAATACTCTTCAAAACTGTGATAAAACTGAGGAAATGGAGCAAGGTATGGTTCCAACGGGGAGCATATAGGATCAAATGTGTCCGCGCTAATAACCACTAGGGAGCATAGATGCGAAAGTAAAACATTGAGTTCATTAAAAATCTTCATTGGGTCTGCATTATTGCTTTCGAACAACTTGTTTACTTTTTGCACCTGAAAATTAGGCAAATAGTAAAATCGGCTAAAAAACGGCTAACTTTTTTTTTACAAACCGGCTAACAAATCGGCTGCCGGCTAGATCGAATTTTCTCCGGCTAGTTGCTATCAAAACCGGCTAAATCTAGCCGGAAAACGGCTAAAATGGCAACGCTGATTGAAAAGCAGCCAAGAGTAAAAATCTAAACTAATGAAAAAAGGTAAAGTACAAAGTGGAATCTCTCATATTGGCTTTGGCAGATTAACACAGATTTAACGATTTACTTTTGTTGCTTATTTTTCCTATGTATTCTTGTGTTTGAATTTCTCTTTTGATTTTTCGTTTTGATTTCGACTGCCACACTTCACTAACTTTGGCTTAATGAAATAAAAATTTGGCTAAAAAAATCCGACAAACTCTTTTCGAGCGCAACCGACGCGCAAATTCGCAATCAAATTGAATTCAAAATCAAAATTGGATTTTTCAAGCGCACAAATTGCAGAACGTAAAATGTCATCGTTGTGCTGCAAAATCGCCGGTTTTCTCCTCATTTATTGGTATCTAGAAATTTTTTTGTGAAGCAGCACACTTGCATAAATTGTAGAGTCGAGCTGCCCAATTGAAAGCTGAAGCAGGTGTTGATATTGAGACCTAAATGCGCAGTCGAGTGTGAACTGGCTTAACTAAATAAACGGCTAGAGCTTGATCAAAATGTTGGTACTTGTGTCTGATTGAAAAAAAAAATACATACATATTTAATAAAATGTTGATATTTTTTATCTTTTCAAAAACAAAATCGATATCAATTAAACAAACAAACAAGCCTACCAAACAAAAAACTCAGCACTACCAAACTATCCACCTCAGGCGCTTCTAACTCACATTTGCATCTGTTACATTCGCTTTTTGAAGTTCAAATGCTTGTTCTTGCTAATCTGCTAAAACGCACAAGCACCTAAACTATATATAAAGCTTATGGTGTGAAGGTTTTTGCTGTCATCGCTTAAATGCAGCCGGTTAAATTTTAACACGCACATTTTAGCTGCCAGCATACTTTGGGGCGTTAGACAGCTGTTATCTGAGTGTAATTGCTCTGAGGTGAAACTGAGGCGAAATTTACGGTGAAAATTCGAGCAAGTGCGCACACGGTGTGTGACTGTGTTCGCAATGTTCTTGCTTGCTTAGACGCATGCGAATAACTCATATCTGTGAAAATGTGAGATGAAACCAAAATTTTAATTATAATATTTGAAGGCATTCACTACGTCGCATTGGCTTTTCAGAATTACGTAATTGCAGATAAGAACAGAGAGAGCTTGAATTATGAAAGTTAAAAGTAAAAGCGGAGTGTTGTAAATAATTTTACACATAAATAAGTGCAGTTACTGCTTGTTGGATAAAATTATTTGCTATACTCAAGTGTAGAATGAGCGTTGCTGTGGATACCGAAGAGGCCCATAGTAAAGTCCACCACTGTATATCTGGTCAATAGGGCATGGAAGGACTCCACCATAATCTTCACTACCCAGGCAACTACGGCAGTATGGTTCAGATGTGAGTTTTAGGCTTAGCTGGCATGATACCCATCTGAACAAAAATAAACCACTGGTGATTCTCAACCTTGGAACTTCACACAATTCACTGTAGTCTGCTACCCGCATAACTCTTGTTAGAAATTAATGCGAAAAATTAGGAGCGGCGGGGGTAAGCGACTCCCTGACCAATTGTAAACGCACAATCAGTGAGCTCAGTACACTGATTGCGTTTTGGGTACCAGAGCAGATGCTTTCCTCCGTTATTGAAGTCACTTTTCTATTGCTTCTAAAATGGCAGACACTTCCAACAACCCATCCATCAGATTTCGACCAATCTGTAGAGAGTTCACCACTTCATCATTAAATGCTTCAGCAATGTGTAGAAATCTGAACCCGAAGTAATTTGCGTAAACTGCATACTTTCCCCCCTTGCGAGTTCGAGAGGTGTACTTTCTCTAATTTTTAAGCAAAAAACAGCTTTTTGACATTCCTCATCATTTAAGTTTTTTTTTCGGGCTCGACTACTTCTTCGGCGGCGGTACTTAATGAGCGGGAAATGTAGTTCCACTGCTCGCGTATGTCGGTTTGTTGAAGAGTGCTCTCCGTGAGCAGGTGTGAGAGTCGACTGCCAAATAAATTGGCCGTCTGTTGTGATTGCAGCTTTACGACATTAAGCTCTCCTTGCATAATTGGGCGCACATTTTTTGCTGCACAGAAGCGGGTGCGTACCTTGGCTGCAACATGATAGTGGTCCAAGTCGATGTTTGGCACTCGGAGTGTACGTATGTACGTCTAAAACACTGGAAGCGTGCCTTCCGTCTATCACAACATGATGATCGATTTGGTTTCTCGTCAAAAGGGCGAAGCACTTCCAGGGTTCAGTGGCATTATTTAATTTCAGTTGACACTGATTCCATTATTTTCAATATCACACTACAATGCATTGCCAATTACAATTCACCACAAACTACGCTAATCTTCAATTTTTGAATTTTTAATGCAACGAAGCATGCATATAAAGTGCCATCATCAATTTAGCGACTAAAATCATTAGCCACATTTGCCAGCACACGCAGCTTCGAAAACGGAATTCAATTTCATATGACAGCGGAAGAAAATTAAAATTCTGCCAACATACAAAAGCAGTCAAATGCAAAATTGCCAAGCAGCGATGCTTTCGTGTGCATACATATGTATGAACGTATATACATATATAAGCAGTTAGAATTCTAAAGCTGAATACGAGGCAAGGGGCTCGAGCTTCGACAGGAAGCCACAGCAACGTAACAACAGCATCACAGTGGCGAAAATGCGACGACATATTGTCAAAGTTTTTTACTTTATCCAATGTGCCCTCAAGAAAGTGGCTATGAGAAACTGAAGCTGGAAGTTAGGATAACTAGCGAGCGTGCTCAACGAAGCATGCAGTTGAGTTGCTGCATTGTAATCCTTCCAAGGACTAAACGAAGGCAGGCATAAATGGCATGACGCGGAGTTACTTCAATTTGCTGCATTCTCTTTTTGTTCAACCATTCGCCAAGGCATACAAAAACTACGGGTGAAAAAAGCGAAGAAGTAGTGCGTTGAAAAGCGAAAAATATAAATGACGAGAGGAAGCTAATGAAAAAAGTATGATGTGAAGTGAAAGAAGTATGCTTGTAGCACAAAATGAAAGACGTAAGAGCGTAAGGACGGCGCAAACTTAAAAAACTTATGCAGAAAAATAAGCATTTGCGGAAAAACTTCACATTTTTACGCATTCATGCTGCAAGTGTTGCAATAACGCC